GAAAATAAAAACATAATAACCACAGCCACATGTAAAAAAAATGATTAAAAATAATGGAAGCCTTAATGATAAAAAAAGAAAAGCAAACACTTAACAATATTAATTACGGACATGGCCACAATATGCTAACTGTCGTCGGAAAATAAAACAACTTTATAACACTAAAAACATACACACAAAACGCACAATCAATTGAAACTGAAAAATAAAATCATCTTTGGTAATGACTAAAAGTATGGCCGAAAATTATAGAACATTTACAGTTTCTACACACACTGTGTCCCAAAAAGAAAGGACTTGTTCGCACACAGGAAAAAAAAAAATAGATAAAAGCTTAATCGTAGTTGCTTCCCTGTCGTTTTTATGAAACATGCATATATATATATATATATATATATATATATATATATATATATATATATATACAAGCATATTTCATTAAATAAGTATAATAAATATAATTAATAAATATTATTTAATATGAACTATCTAATATATATATATATATATATATATATATATATATATATATATATATATATTCAAACATACATCAGTAAATATGTATTATATTAAATATATTAATGCATATTATTTAATATGAAATATTTAATATATAGTATATATGTATGTATATATGTATTTTATATATGTGTGCAAGCGTGTTTCATTAAATAATATAAACATATTATGTTTGTTTATTTTTAATATATTATTCATCAAGGGAGGTAGCATATTTTTGTTAACTTTCGATCTCCTATGAGTTCCTCCTCAGGGGTGAATTGCGAAGACAATCTTCACCTTAACTATAATCGAGATTTTTGTAAATACATGTAAAATACATAGACATAATATTTTTATATTATTTAATGAAACACATTTGAATGAAGATATACTGCCTAAATACACACACAAACGCGCGCACAGACACACACACATATAAATATATATATATATATATATATATATATATATATATATATATATATATATATATATATATATATATATATATATATATATATATATATATATATATATATATATATATATATATATAACTGATGTCTGTTAATGTGACTGATAACGTTAATCTAACGTGAATATAGCGCAAATTAAGTTAAATTTTCTTTATCTACAAATAACTAGAAATACATGGAGATATTTGCATTAATATATTCACTGAAAAATTTATATATATATATATATATATATATATATATATATATATATATATATATATATACGAATAAAAAAAACGAGACATCACTCATAAAACGTTTGAAGAGGGCCCCAGATTTTACGATGATATTGGATATAATACACAAAAGTCACATAACAAGTGTCGAAGCGACAGGTTAACTCAAGTAAAATACTTGAATGCATTGAGTTAAACTTAAATAATTAATGATTCTTTTATATTTATTTGAATGATTTCATTATTTGGTATCAGGGTTAAACTATAAATTCAATTATTTGTGTAACAAACAATGAATTCATTTATAGATACAACATATGTGAATATCAAACAAATCTCAGGTGTACATGTCAAGTTAACCTATCAGTAATTGGGTCCCGAAACTGCATAAAAGCTCTTTAGATGTAACACATAATGCACACGTCAATATTTATAAAATGAAAAAGCCACCAAATTGGATTATATAACATTAATTATTTTCAAAAGTCAACAATAAAATAAGATTACTTATATAAATATTTACTATTTATACAATAATATTTTTTATATAGGAAACAAGTATATTATATAAAAAAAAGAATATATAGATATATAAATATATATAAATATATATATATATATATATATATATATATATATATATATATTCAACACCATCACTTGAAATGTTGAAACAAAATAGCTATTTGTAGTGATTTATAACATATTTATGCTATAATTTTCGAATAAATAATTATATATATATATATATATATATATATATATATATATATATATATATAGTTCATTTGGGGCAGCAGATCATTATTCATGTATTATTATGTAATGTTAAATATAACGGACAATGTTTATATTTAACAATATATGGTTGAAAATATATATATATATAAGTTGAGTTAGATAGATAGATAGATAGATAGATAGATAGATAGATAGATAGATATAATATAACATTAACCAGGTTTTAGGAAAAACACTTTCGATCAATTTTTAATGTAATTTTTCTTTTGTTTTCTCTCGTGCGGCTATAAATATTATTTGTCCGAATATATTTGAGATCTTTTCATTAACAAGTTTTTCTTGAATTCAAAATCATTGAACATATTGTATGACCAAAGACACTTCAAAGATTTATTGAAACTAAAACTGCTTTTCTTTATATATATATATATATATATATATATATATATATATATATATATATATATATTTTATATATATATATATATATATATATATATATATATATATATATATATATATATATATATATATATATATAAATTTTACATATATATATATATGTGTATGTACATGATATTTTCTTTTAAAAGATTATAATAACAACATTTTGAAATCGCTACACAGTAGTTTTCATTTTTCAAATTTTTGCACCCCCCACACATATATATATATATATATATATATATATATATATATTATCAAGCATGTTTCGTTGAATAATCTAGATATATTATGTCCATTTATTTTTATTTTGA